TTCAGACATGGCAACGAGGGACTATTTGAGATTGGTGACCAAGACTTGGTGTTAACGACATTCCCATCCCTCTCCCTCCTTTCGTCTGATCCTTATCTCTTCGTCTGTGTATGTCTGGACCTGGCGCTTTCTTCCTGTGTACAGCGCCAGGCTCCTTCACAGTTGGTGATGGATACCATGCATGTTTAGTCTGAGTTCAAACATTGATTGGGCTAGTTAGTAGTACTCTAGAATTCTGCTTCGCTACTCTGAACTACGTGAATGAGGTCAGTCCTGTCAGGTCAGTCTTTGTATCAAAGTCTTCCCTGCGCTATTCAGCACCTTTTGTATGTATGAGAATGCACATTGTCTGTCGAGACTCTACTCGCACTGTATTGTCCATTCAGTCCTTTTCATCACATTGCAGTTCCTCGGTTATTACGTACATTGCATATCTGTGCATGAATCAGTCCTGCTGAGGTCCTTCGGGTCTGGACCGTTGATCAGGCCCAATGCTTCAGATCCGATTTCGGAATCTGAAAATGGGCGCCAAACTGCRCCGCCGGCTGGGCCTACCGATGAACCGGTACCTGGCCTAAACGAACTAGCCGTTGGGTCTGGTGGGGTCTAAACGAGGCCTACCAGACCCTAAACTGAACCGACGGGTCCTAGGCCTACCTGGACCTAAACTGGCCTGTCGTGACCTGGTAACTAGGCCTGAACCATGCCTGCTACAGAACTGGGCCCTAACTGGGGCCCGTGTGGTATCAGTATGCCACACCTACGCACCACAGGTTACCTGACAGTGTAAGATAAAGGCCACCATATACCTTCCTCTTTTGATTTTTCCTCTTTCCTTTTTTTACCACGTACCTTTTCTCGTCCTTTCGGCAAAGTAACATCAAGTGGAGTTCTGTTCTGACTGGGCATCTGCGCATCCAGTTTCAGACAGGCTATGCTTTTGGGCATCTGCAGGTTCACAGCCAGATGAGGCCTCGGGAGTGGTGTGGGAGCCAAAACTCCACTCGTGCGAGTGGGAGTTGGAATCATCCTTTCTTTCTGTGTGTTTTTTTTTTTTTTTTTTTTCGTGGAAAGGTCACCCTGATTCACCCTGATTCTGGTGGCATATGTCTCACATATTAAGCTGCTGTTGCAATGTGAGGACAGTGATGTGGACGCTCCAACAGACAACATTTCATTCATATGTGTTTGGACTGTAAAATTAGTATAAATAATAAGTTATTAATAAGCCAAGGCTTCAACCCAAGGGTTGCCAAAATGACACAGGAATGCACTTGGCTCATGAAAACCTCCAGCAGAAGTGAGGTACGGAGATTCAGAGCAGCACCCATGCATTTTCTGTTTTTTTTAATGGGTGTCATCCTTGCATAGAGGCCATGCATTTTCTTGAAAAAAAGGATGATTCAGATATTCAATAATTAAACTGATCCGAACAGATACTACACTTGGTCTATTTTAAGCCAAAGAGGCGGAGAACGGTGTTGCACAGGGGCCATGCGAATCTTCTCTGTATGGTTCAATTTTTTACGCATTTGGATGATAAAGATAAGATAAGCATGGTCCCTGAGTAATGATGACATGCATAAATATTAAATAGAGAAACGGTCCATAAATCGAGAAACGGTCTTAGTTGCATTTGGACCGGGGCAAACATAAATAGAGAAATGGTCCATAAATCGAGAAACGGTCTCAGATGCATTTTAACCGGGGTAGTTTCAGGGTCTGTCATGAGGAAGTATCATCACTCCTATCTGTTGAAGCGGGTGGAATTAATTAAGGAGACCCGGTGCTCAGGCTGGCTGGGGCACCCCATCCAATTGGCAGGGTCCAAGTATGTCAGTTGCTGGTAGGCGCTGATTTTGCAGGGGTGCCAGCAGTTCTTTTTTTGTGGAGTACGTGACGAAGGGGTTGGTTGACCTACACCCCTGACCTTGTGGGGTCATGTATGTCATGTTGGTTGTAGATTAACCAACAGCAGTACTTCAGCGAAATCCAACATGTAGACACTCCCATGCATGTAGACGGGCATGCCAACACACACACACACACACACACACACACACACACACACACAC